TCCAGCAACTGTTTTTCATACAGCTTCGCTCCCGAATCATTTTTGTGTTTTTTTGCTTTGCTTTTCCAAACGGGTTTCATAAGACATTGATAACGATCGCTATTTTTGCAGTCATTTGTTCAAGTGTGTTTTTGATCGAGAGCTTATTATATGACACGAAGTGTTACCTATCTACTTCTCCGAACACAATATCCTGAGTACCTATGATAGTAACCACATCTGCGAGCATGTGATGTTTCGACATAAAATCAAGCCCTTGTAAATGAGCAAAACCAAGTGCTCAAATTTTACAACGATAAGGACGATTGGTTCCGTTGCTAACTAAATATACACCAAATTCTCCTTTGTGTTAATCGAACCTTCTGGTTCTATCTGTTGTGATGAGAATGATGTGTCTGACTCTTTGTCTTTCTTGCACACATCATTCATACGGCTCGTACCTAAGTTCTTACAGGTGACTGTAGTGAATATGGTGAAGGCATAGTCTTACCCCATCAGTAATGGTGGAAGGTCGAGGTTCCAAGGGTTCGGTTGTTCGCCGATGGAAGTATGGATTTGTAAGACGCACTTACAAAGGTTATATCCTTCCTATGCCAATAAGAATTATGATCCCGATGGACCACGCAGATATACTTGCATTTTACAATGCAAAAACCCGTGGCATTTTCAACTACTACTCCTTTGCGGCTCCCCTGGCGGGCCTGAGTCGTATTATACACTTATAGGCGATATAACTTGAGGCTCGCCAGAGTTATATATAGTTATAGGCGGCCGAAGGCCGAAACCAGTCATAATGTCTGCTTTCAACCAGGCCTTAATCTGATTCCTCATCACAGGATATGTGTCTAGCTTTTCCAAGAGGCACGAAGTGTTGATTCGATCAAAGCATTTCGCAATGTCGGCGTCAAGCACATATTTGGCTACTAGAGATTCAGCAGTATTGCTGAATCTCTAGTCTAATTCTGAGAATCAATAATCAAATGATCAGTCGTCAAATAAAATAAATTCATTTGAAGAATGTGGTTATCATCTAAAAATGAATAGCACAGAAAGAATCGAATTACTTATTGATCCTGGCACTTGGCAACCAATTGATAATAAAATGATACCCTATGACATTTTGGCTCTTATCTTTCTGTTGTAGGAATTTTAGTTTTTTTTGTGGTTTTTTATCTCACTTTAACCAGTGAAGTGCGCGCTCTGCAAGCGCCTTGGGCAGTTGAGCCAAATTCAACTACACTTGAATGGATGGTACAAAGTCCTCCAGCTTTTCATACCTTTGAAGAACTTCCAGCCATCAAAGAAACAAATAACAACATTGAAATTCAAACATAATTGTTGTTATTTTGCTGACGTATTAAACTTCGGAAACCTCCAAAAGAAGCCAAAACAAAACCTATCCAAATACAAAAAATGAAAGGTAACTTCATTATGGTAGTATACCAACCAGTTTCAAAACTTCCAGTAGTCTCTGAGGATCCTACACAGACATATGTTGGTTTCCTGCGGATTATCCATTGTATATTGAAATTCATTCAATAAATAGGTTAGGACTTTCCCTCATATAGTGAAGTAATAAGGTCAGAGATTACTCGTCTGACACGGCAATGAGTTTACCACTTTCATCGGCGAACAACCGAACCCTTAGAACCTCGACCTTCCACCATTACTGATGGGGTAAGACTATGCCTTCACCATATTCACTACAGTCACCTGTAAGAACTTAGGTACGAGCCGTATGAATGATGTGTGCAAGAAAGACAAAGAGTCAGAGGAGTAGGTCTCGCATCATATTTGTTAATTAATTTTTGGTTTACACGACTTCAAGCAAATAAAGCAGCTATTAAAGCAATGCTTGTGTGTGCAAGAAAGACAAAGAGTCAGACACATCATTCTCATCACAACAGATAGAACCAGAAGGTTCGATTAACAACTTTTGAAAGTTGAAAAGAAATTGTGAATCAGTCGTTACGGAGAACATATTCTTCGATCTTGAAGATTTTGAAGATGGTACACTCGAATTGTATTGTTTAAGTGGACCATCCACTCGTTTACAAAAGATTTTAATTTCACAATTACTAAGTCACTGGTTACTCAAAATCATGGCTATTCTGTTGAGTTTTCCTGTTTTACAATTGCTATATCATTTTCAATATTCAACAGTCAATTGTTTGACTATAGTAGTAGGAAGTCTAGTTTTTACACTTATATGTGGTATTCATTCTTGTTTGACTCTTGGATTGAGATCTACAGACTCTCGAAAAACTCACCAATAAAGCTACTAGTGCCTGGCAGACTAATATTGGCTAAAGTAAAAAACAGGAAAATAGTAGAGAAGATAGGCATTGTACTGACTAAACCTCCATAATATTTAACAAGTCGGGTTTTATGTCGATCATATAAAGCACCTACACATAAAAAAAGGGCTGAAGAAACCAGTCCATGACTTAACATGACACTTTCTCCTCTCTAGCAGCACGGCCCCACAATAGCAGCCAGCCAGTATTCACTCAGGTGAATGACCCAGCAGCACTGCCACAAGTGTGAGGCTGCTGGGTGGAGTGTTGGCTTTTGTAGCTAGTTGAAGGCTGTGGGCAGCTGCTTTCCCCTCAGCCAGGCAAAATTCGTGGGTGCTCCTGACCCTCTATCTAAATCCACGGCCAGGACCTAGATGCCTTGGTTTTCCCCTAGGGGAACCAAGATCATCAACCCTCAGGAGTACCTGGTCGTTTTTCCAGGCCAGGTGTTCCTAGAAATGGTTACAACCATTTCTCTGCTGCATGCTCAAACGAACAGGCGCAGACCCATCACCCCCTAGAAGCTTATGGGGCTGCACCTGTTCCCCGGTCGCGGTCACGTACGTGGCCGTTACATTTTTTTACCTTCCTTACTTTTTTTTTTCTCTTCCCTTGTTCCCCCCTTCATTTCCCTGTGCAGGGGGCAACTCGTTTTTCGAAACGAGCAGCCTCCCTCACTTTGTTATTTCACAGAGTCGTTCTAGAGTCTGGCTCACTAGGGTCATTCTTTCCCTGCCCTACGCGCGCCTGCACCCAGTCACGAACAACGCCAGGTTCAGGCGCGTTGTGGCTATTCAACTGACGCAGGTAAACTGAGGGGACAGGTTAATACTAACGAACAGGAAAAAAAAATTAAAAAAAAAAAAACTAGAAAAAAAAAAATCTAAATATGCCTTTTCCCACACGCCCGTACCCGGACGCTCAATTGCGCCAAGTTCGGGCACTGCAGTGCTACTTCCCAGTGACGGGAAGAGCCAACATCAAGGGATCGAAAAGCAACATCGCTATGAACGCTTGGCTACCACACACTACGTAGGATGCCCCCCCCTTTCTCTCCCTCCCTCTCTCTCTCCTCTCTCTCTCTCTATGTGCATCCCGACAGTCGTATCTATTATCAGCAATGAGCGAGTTGTGGGGACTGCCCTCCGAGAGAGAGACGCCACAAAAATGTTAGTTCGACTACCAGATAACGACTCGCTTGTCCCTCGCAAACTGGAAACCACCAAGCATGCGCAGAGAGTCTCTCGTGTCTCAAGACCCAGACCCTGAACGTAGCCACCTTATGGTGGCTGATTCATTCAATTTTGCTCATCCCCAACAATAACCCGTTCGTCAAAACGAACGGGTGCCTAGTAAAATTAAAATCGAATAAGATAAAAAAAACAATCTAAAATAAAATAACGAATATAAAAAAAAAGGAAATCTAACTAAAGAAGATCTAAAAGCAAATCTACCAAATACAACTTTAAAAAATCTATTAAAAAAAAAAAGAAAAGACACTCACCTTAGAAAATGGTCGCCCGTTGAGAACGGGGACCTGCAACTGTCCATGGG